GGGCTACGAATTGAATTTATAATGATTTCGTAATTTAGCAGCAATTTAAATGATTCAGATACACAGACAAAGAACTTTATGTTTAAAGTTTTGTCTGTCTGCTTTATAGTGTCTGTCTGCAGAGGGTAGCTTAGTTTTAATATTGACTTTGACGGAAGAGTAAATTTATAAGGTGAAGATGATGTATACATACTCGTATATGGCAAAACTCTAGGAAATTAATTTGAATCTTTCCTTTCCCCAAGTGGAATTATCTCTTAAAATTTTAAAATTATTCTGCATTATCTTAATAATTATTTAAAACCAACTAACAACAAATGAAAAGTGTATTTCTCGCTTCGGCTTTGGGGCGATGCGACAATAATCTTGTTTGCTTTGCTTGTAAGTTTCTTCGTTTTGTTTTTTCCTATTTGGGGTGCCTTTTCAATCAAATTGACATAAACACATGTTGGGGCCCTAAGTGTTGTCGCGCCTCCAAAACGAAGACACCGAGCTGAAAACAGCATAAGAAACGGCAGAGGTAGGTTGGGGGGTTGGGGGTTGGGGGATGGGGGGAAGCCTCTATTAATAGATCATTAATTGATGATTATGTCAGTTGAAAGCGTCGTTGACAAACTGTGTATCTGATGGATACATGAGGCGGCGACGCCCCACAAAACGGCAGTTGAAAACTTTCAATGCACTTGCATTGAATGCTGCCATTAATCACGCTGGCTCACAACCGCCCTACCCCTGCCTCTGCCTCGTCGCCTACCACTCGACCAGCTTTGCTGTGGTTAAATATTTTGAATGGCAACATATGTTGGCTGTGCCATAAAGCACCATGAGATTTGTCATGTGTGTGGCCACAACGCAGAGCTAAACAGCTTTCAGCTAAAAGTCTGTGCTGTCTGCCCGCAGATACATTTTGGGCCGACTACTCCCAACTATTTACGACCAAAAATCGGCCAAATCGCAGCAATCGCAAACTACGCAAAAACAATCTTGCAACCAGCAGATACGACGACGACGAGTCTAGTAAACCACAAACAAGTTGCAGCTGCACTTTGAGCCCAGTTAAAGGCAGCAGCTCCAGCTCCAGCTACAGATCCAGCTACAGCTCCAGCTCCAGCTCCAGCTGCGTATCTGTAGCATAGAGTAACCGGAGAGCCGCGACGCAAATGTGCATTCTGCGGTTGCATTTTTTTTCTTTTTGTTGGCGGTGTGGCGAGATTTTGCGTAAAAGTTTTTCAAACATTTTCAGCTGCAAGTATGCCAAACATTTTTTGTACTCAAAACTATTTAGCTGTCAGCATTTATTTGCCGTTTCGCCGAAAAATGAAAACGAAAACATAAAAAGCGAATTCAGCTTATATTGAGATACATAGAAATGCAGTCGAAAGTTCCATTTGAACAATAAGTTAATGGGTATTTATTGATTTTGCAAATAGTTGCCCCAACGAATTTTAGTTTTGATTGATAGCTTTAGCTGTTGGCAAAATTGAAAGAGAGAGAGAGAGATACATACAAAGAGAGTGAGACAGACACACAGTTTGTGTTGCAGTGTGGACTTAACAGATTTGTAAACCGAATGCTGAAAAGTGATAAAAATGATGCATTCGAGTATTTTGAACATTTTTTTTGCCACTATATTATCATCCATCAGTCAGTTGAGAGTTCTTAAAAACTACATTGCTTTTTTTTCAGGTTTACGATTTGTGTGTGGTAAATAAACTAAAAATATACACAACTATTCAAAAGTAAATTGTGTTGATTTTTTTATACGCTGGTAAAGTGTTTCCAGAAATATGTGAATTAATTTTAAAAAAATAACAATTTAATACTGCGGCATGTTTTGTTAGATTATTTATTGAGATCCTAATTCGATTTTGTTTAGAGAATTAATTGCAATGAGTTTTTAAATGCTAATTTTAACGTCGAGTGAAAACAATTATAAAATTGAGTGTGATTCAGTCACGTTATTTGGGCTTCTGTTGTGATTCTGTTTGTACACATTAGGTATACAGAGGTCAAAGAGTTTTCAAGTCTTTAGAATAATGACTAAGCCTTGATTTTTATTTGCTTGTGCTACCTATGCAGCTACCATTCGTAGCATATAAAACATGTTAATTGAATGCTGCATATGCTGGAGGTGCACCTTAAATGCATATAAAACAAAGTCATAAAACGTCTAGTTGGTTGTTAGTACGTTGAACGTTGCACGTTGCACGTTGCTCGTTGCCCAGAAGGCCAGCCAAGGCTATTAAAGAAATTCCTGGATGTGGCACAGGCACAGAGAATCGGGCGAGTGTTGAGCATTGCTCAAATGCCAAAAGCGTCTTCGCCTTATCGTCGTCATTCTTCTTGTTATAGATGACGCCGATTATGATGATGTTGGCGATGATGATGACCATGATGTTGATGTTGTTGATGTTGTTGATGTTGTTGCTGTTGTTGTTGTTCATTGCAGTGCATTGCATTGCTCATTAACACGAAACTAATTAATTGCGCAATTCAAGTAAACTATCATGTTGCGAGCTGGTCTTGCAGGCATTACAAGCACTTGATTGATCACCGCCAGACAACAGCATGATCTTCCAGGGCCAAGAGCAGGGCTATGAGCTATAAGCTGTAAGTTAGCTAGTTGGAGGGTGCCAAAGTGCCATGCAGGCCAATGCATTTTAAACGCTAATTTATTGTTAACAGCAACGTCATGTTGTTGCCGGTATGCAAAAATGTTGCCTGGCATATGCAATTAATTGTAACAAGGCCCCGCCAGCCAAACCAGCCAAGTCAACCAAGTCAGCCGCCAACTAGCCAAGCCAAGCCAAGTCAACTCAGCCAGCCAAGCGGTACAACCTTTAACGAGCCTCATTGGCCCATTGGCAAAAGTAAAAAGCAAAAAACAAAAAGCAAAAAACAAAGCCAACTGCATTTGGCCAGGCCAACACTTTTGTGGCAGCGCGTTAAGTTGCAGCAATTTACGTGTTAATTTGAAGTCGTGTCTCTCCAAATGTTTTGGGCTCTTTACTTTTACTCAGCAATGCGGCGAGAAAGTCGTAAGTAATTCATGTGTTGCACGTAATTGCCGGGGTGGTGGCGCTGCAGTTGTCGTGGGCTGCCGTTGCATTCAACAGCTGCCAGCTGCCAGATCTGCCTAACGATCGGTTTATAGGCATCATTCGATGGCGAAAGTTTGCCACTTAAATAGTAGCCAAGTGCCTGGCATGGCAATTAACATTTCGATCGGCGATAGACTCAACGATAAGTGAGATAGATCGTTATCCTAATTAATCGATTCAATGATACAACTGAATGCTGAAATTTTGATAGGGTTTTTATTTTGGTAGCTTAAATTAGTCTAGGCATGCCTGAGAAGCGATTTAGATGAATCCATATTTGATGCAGTTATCCTATTAAATTCAATCCCATATTTGAAAGTTGCAAGCAATCGATTTAATTATAGAACTAAATGAAAGACAATTTACAAAGGATTTATATTTTGGAAGCTTCAATTAGTTTCTGAATGTTGATTGAGATATTGTATTTAATTTAATTTAAAAGTGTAGACTTGATCCACACTCATTGATGCTATTATAATACTTAAGCAAGGGGCTTTGCTTACCCAAAAAAGATGAAAACACATCGCCAATTAGTATGATTGAATTTGTAACTGGTTCCTCTTCCCACTACTCTCTTTATATCACTGATTATGTGCTAAAAAGGAATACTACTCTGCTTCAAAATTGCATTTTTGTGCCCTTCTCAAAGTCTATTGTTGCGATTGCTTTCTTGATGATGGTCCTCGGCAGCGCTCCAAGCCCTGATTGCTGAAGTCAAAAAAGTTATGAGCAAACAATTTTCTGCTTAAAAGCGCCTGTCACAAAACTTTCGAGTGCCCCTTGTCAACTGACAAACTGAGTCTCTCTGGCCATATTGTAGCCATACAATTTGTCTGCAATTACTCATATGAGTGGGGCGTGGTGGGGAGGGGAGAAAAGTTGTGAGAAATGCAAAAATGTGATCCCCTACGTGATTTGTTTTTAACGAGCCAAAGAAAACTATTGACAATGCAAATGTCGTATTTTTGTAATTTACTGGACCGGAACCAGTCCAGCAACTGTTGTCCACTCCATCGGGGGGCTTGGCTGTCCGCCCATTCTAAGTTCAGATTGCCAAACGCACAATAGAAAATATTGTGTGTCAAAATGCGTGTGCTGTTTTTGCTGTTTTTGCTGTTTCTGCTTGTGTTGTTGTATTTGCTGATAGAATGCTTTGTGTTTGCGTGTTTTGGATAATATTTCGCATAGTTTTACAGCTGAAGTGGTTCGAAACGCCCCTCAAGGGTTTCGCCTCCGTCAACAGTTGCGGAAAGTTGCCACACAACGAAACAGTTTACAATTTCCAAAAAGGACCCTCACGCACACACACACACACAACACTATGTCCGTAACTGGCCACGCCTCGCTGCTGCCTCGCTGCTGCCTCGCCCATCACTTTACTTTTTAATTTGACAATCAATTGACAGTTCGTTTGGTAAACACAAATACAAAATACACTCACAAATTTGTGCAAAACTATTGACAATCATGAAATATATATAATAAAAAAACATATCAAATAACTTGGCCGAAAACGATTTCAAAGCAAATTTTCATCCATTGAATTTGGAGTGCTTCTTATATTTCAACAATATTAATTGAATTCCATTGATTGAAAACAAATTCAAACGGCAACAGCAGCAATACAATAACTGTGCAACCATTTGGGACTTCCACTCTAAAATGTTGTTACATTAAATGGTTTCACTTTCAATCATTCTTTCATTCTTTCCGGTCGCCGGATGTAACTAAATGTGATATGCATTTTGAACTGCGGAGCTCCGCTCCGTGTAAACAATTTTAGTTATTCCATCAAGAATGTAAACGAAAATGGACTAATGCGAAATGTGACCTGTTTTTTAATTGAAGACACACAAATTATAAATGTTGACATACAAGTATAAAATACAAATTGGAAACTTCAGTGAATCGATTTATTTAATTGCAGACACACAAATTACGGATGGAGACTTACAAATATTAAATTAGATTTTACCTTACAAAATTGAAAACTTCATTTTAATCGATTTACTTATTCAAGCCAAACATTTCTAATATATCCTCTTTGGTTAATTTGTCATCATCTTGCGAAGTGGCACGGGTTGCAGCAGCTGCAGGAACGGATGCTGCGGCGGGGGCAGGGCGGAGAGTGGCAGCAGTCTTAGGAGCTGCAGTTGAAACTCTTGCTCCTGCTGCTGTTGCTGGAGGTGTACTTTTTGCTGCTGGCTGATTGGGTTTTTGATTTTCCAAGGTTTTCATGTCCATTTCGAGACCGGCAATTGTGTTCCTCTTGACAATGACTGAGGATCTGCCCGCCTTGGACGACTTTACCTTGGACTGCCGCTGGCTCTGTGGTGAGGGATAGTGTTGAGTCTTCACCGTGATATCGAGGGTTATGCCAGCCACTTTTGGTGGATTCTGTGGCACATTTTGCGGAGCACTTAGCAATGAGATGTAGGGACATTCTCTACATTGCCGAGCTAGTTGCTGCTCGTCGGCGGGGTTTGTGGGCTCATTCCAGCAGCGATAGGTGGCCCAGGAGATGCCACAAGGTGGTCCTTGGCGTTTGACTGTTTCAACTGGCTCTTCTACGACTGGTATGGACTTTTCATCCTTGAATGGGGCCAGATAGGTGAAGAGATGTGGCTGACTGCGCCGCTTGTATTCACACATGCAAACACACGCATCGGGGTCGACTATGTCCTCCTCCTCCTCCTGCTCCACGGTTGCCTCAGAGGATTCAGACACTGTTTCCGATCGGGGAAAGTCGCGCAATGGAGCCAGCCAGCAATAATCTGTGTCTCGATCCTCCACTCCAGAGTTGGAGAGCTTCTCGGCATGCTCCTCCTCGACATCATCTTCGCCATAGGCAAATGGACAGCGACACAGTTGGCAGGTGCAGGTGCACTCCTCATCGCACGAGCGCTCCTCATGCTCGCAGGGAGGGCAGAGCACATCCATGGGCGGGCAGGGTACACGATGCTCCAGGAACTGCTCCTCCTTCTCGTTGTAGGGCAACCAGCGGCAGATGTAGGGACCCTGACTGCATTCGGCCGTAATCACCGGCGACAATCGCTCCAGTCCACATACCATTTGGCGACAGTCGCATTTCACAAGCTTCTGCTTCTTCCTCTTCCGCTCACTTGCACCCTTACTGGATGTGGTCTTGGAAATTTGGGCTTCTCTCAGCCTTCTCTCCCCGAATGAACGAACGGATTCGGCTTGCGCAACCACATAGTACTCGGCGCGCATAGAGCTGCCTGAGGTGGCTTTGCTGACGTCCATCGAGAGCTTATTGAAGAAGAGCTCGGTGGTGATCGCAGTGCTTGTTGTATTTATTGTATTATTCGGTAACCCATCCAATGCTGCTTTATGCACTGCCTTTTTCTCATCCCCTACAGTCGACTGTGACTTTTCTGGTGGATTGCAGTTGCAGGTGTCCACATATCGGAATCGTGAGAGTAGCTCCTCGTAGAGCGCCTTGTAGACACACTCGATGCACTTCTCGTACTGCATCTGCTCCGAGTACATCAGACCCGCATAGGCAGCAAAGATCTCTGCCGTACGCTTGGCGGCATGCAACCACATGCACTCTTCGCGATGCTTCAGTTGCTCGGCCAGTGCCTGGACCCGCAGGCCATTCTCCCCCGTGCCATGAAAATAGGCACGAAAGGCACGCTTTGTAATCCCATAGGCCAGCTGGCCGTCCATGCGATTCATGCCCGCCTCGACGCCCACATCGTGCAGGAAGTTCTCCTTGTTGAAGCGTTTCCTCGGCACCCGATCCACCCGATAGCGCAGCTCCTCATAGTGGCGAAAGGAGCGCTTGATCACATCCTTGGTCAGTTTCACCTCCCACGGACGCAATCGACAGATGCACATCACTCTCATCAAGCTATTGGCGATGTCATCGATATCGGTCTCGAAGTAACTCCTATCATCTTCATCCGGGCCACAGTTGTTCACCTCGGGTCGCCAGCATTGGCAAAATCCGATAGCCTGGTGACTATGATAAAAAGACGTCACGACCATTTTTGCTAGAAATTTTGAATGCAAAACTTTCGATTGATATTTCAGAGCAGAAAAGACTTTTTTGTTTGGTTTTTCCGAATCGATACTTTTCGAATGAAGCACCTATTTCGATTGTATATATATATATAAATTTCTATATTTGCGGAAATCCACCTGTTGACCGTTTGCTATGGGTAATTCAAGTCGGTAGTCAGTCGGGCAACTTGACGCTTCCTGAATGACAACGTCTGTCAGGGATTTGAATGGGGAAGTGCATGGCTGACAGATGGCTTGATTCGTGGCAGACGTACACAAATTCATATTTATCATGAGCGTGTGGACAGAATGTGTTGGAACGGATGGGGGGGAGAGGTAGGGGTTATTTGATGCAGCATGCTGCAGCCAAGTGCACAAAGCCAGCAGCAACAGAGACTGTGGCACGCATCATTTCGATATTTGTTTACCCAACAATTTGCTATGCGTTTGCTGCCCCTATCCACTCCCCACCTCCACCCGCTCTCCTCCCTTCCGCTATCCATGTTTGTTTTGTAGCGGGAATGTGAGGCATGCAACTGCAGCAGCAGCAGCAGCGCCGTCTGATTTACTATCGTTAATTCAAAATACTTTTGTGATGCACTGCAAAAGCGGAAATGCAATGCGACACACACACACACAAACACACACGTAGACATATGATTATATATATATATATACGGATTTTAACAAGCGACTGTGCAAAAGCAACTAAACATTTCTATTTAGAAATTCTACTCAAAACTTTAAGCTACATAAAATAAAGAAATTTTATTTTAGATAAGCGAAAACTTCTATACGCTTTAGTTGTGAATTTGATGTGCTAATAATTCAAATTATTTTAAATTATTGTGTTTTGCTGCTACATCAAACTTCAAGATTAAAAGAACAACTGTTTGCTTCGATCTTTACCATGATCCACTTCTTCTCTTTTTTTTTTTTGTGGTTGCGCCTCATGTTGTAGTTAATGTACCCAATTTGTTTAGTTGCTGTTGTAAAAACAGAATCAAAGTCTGCACAAATATTGTCAGGCGCGGTCATGACAAATATTTACATAGACAGAACTCGTATATAGGTAACATTTTTGGGTGCACCAGCCCTCGAAAACCAAAAACCAACCAAAAACAGAACCTAAACCAAAACTAAAAAGAAAAATAGAAAATAGGAAAATACCACTACGAGTGCAACGGAAAATGCGGGCGCATTGACAGTGCGGGCGATTGATTTTTCCTGTGTTTTGGGTCTATTTGCTTCCAGCCTCAGAGTCAAGTCACATAAGGGAGGACCTGAGCAGAGAGGGGGATGTGGCAGTGAAGTACTAGGCACAAACTAAAATAAATGCATTGCCAATGCAGTGACAGTTAGGCAGAAAGAGACAGAGATAGGGACAGGGTGGGTGGGTGGAGTACTAGGCCAAACGGTAACAGACAGATTTAGTGCAGCTACAGGAAAAATGAGTTTAATTGTTGACCTTAGCTATTAGCCCCTGTCAAATGACTTTGGTTGACAGCAATTTGCCTTTTTCCGAAGGGATTCATTTTGTGTGCGCTGAATTCTTTTGTTTTGTTTAGATGGTCGCATTGTGTCGGCATCCATTGCTCTTTAATTTATATGCAAAAAAGCACAACGTGCTGCATTTCGCAAAAGTTTCTCAGAATTTGTGAATATATACGTATTGGCAGTACGCTTTGGTATGCACCAAAGGCGTTGACTGACAGGCCGGTATCAAAAGGCCTCTGCTTCACTCTTGTCCCTCTTGTCGCTTTGTGTGTCGGCCACGTTTTGATATTTGTTTATGTTGCACCACCACCAGCAGCAGCAAAAATGTATTATTCTTCTTTTTTTTTGCCTTTTGTCTTGTTATTTCTTGATTTCCAGCACACTTTTTCTTACTTATTTAAACGTTTGTGCATATATACTCTACACATGTCCATTTAACAGGGCCATGTGCTGTGCAAGCTGATGATTATTGCCTTGAGTTATAAATGTTGCATACAACAAAAGAAAATTGACTCGTAAGCAGACAATTGCAGTTTATTGAGTGAGACGCGCACAGAAAGGTGAAGACGTGTCCAAAGAAATATAAATATATATATTAAGAGTGATAAATGTGAAGGATGACAATGCTCGCAAAAAACTTGAGCATTTTACTTATTTATTTTATGCAATGACATTGGAATAAAGAATTTCTATCATATCTCTATTAATCTTATTTTTTTCTTGATTGAGTAGCTGGTATCAAAAACTTTGTCGGATTATAGATAAAGAGAAACAGATAGAGAAATTATTTCCTATGAACTTATCGAATCAGTTTCTCAAGGGTTTTCCACTACAAATTGTTTGACATTTCTGTTGAGTTCAGTGTCTTCTCTTGCCTTGCTTTTCCTATTGGCCCCATAGAGAGGAACTAAACCGAGAAGTCGGACAAATCAGTGCTGTTGTGAGTACTGCCCACTCTCAACGCCTTTCAATTCCCACAGCGACTTTAATTTATCACGAGTGATCTTGATTAAAAGTACGCACCCGCCACCCGCAACCCGCAGCTGTGCCTAAACACCCCAAAGAGAATAGAGCAGAGTAGGATGGAGGGGTGTGGAGAGAGAGTGGGAGGGGGGAATGAGCCGTAGCAAATTCAGTCGGGCAGTCAGACAGCCAATTATAGACAGTCAAAGTCGCGTAAAGATGCCAGAATGAAGATCCCCACAGACGGCAGCAATTCTGAATGAAAACGAAAAATGAAAATTATAATGTGAACAGCAGCAGCAGCAACAAACAGCAGCAACAACAAACACCAGCAACAACAACAACAACAACAGCAAATGCAATAAAGACATCAACAGTTCGGAGGCATCAAAGAATCAGAGCCAAGTCGCTGGCAGCTTGAAAGGGGGATGGTGGGCAGCGGCGGACGGTAGCAAAGGCAAAGGGCAAAGTTATAAGATTTCCAAAAATAATATTAAAATTAGCAACGAAGCGCAACAAATGAGATTTTCAACCAGTTGCAGTTGCACTTCCACATGCCCTCCATCTACTCTCCCCAGTTCCCAATCTCAGCCCAGAATGATGCCCATAAATTGAGCGAGTACTGCTGGGCACGTCCAGACCTCGGAGAGGCGTAGATCAATCAGTGCCCCAACAGCAGCAGCAGCAACAACATAAAGAAGAAGAAGTCGAAGCAACAGCAACAGTGGAAACAGACAAACGAACAGACAACCGAACAGACAAACAGCTTAGTCCCAGTAATTAGGAATGATAAATGCTGGAATACGCAGTGTGCACAAGAAGCCAAATCTTCTCCATATGAAAGGGTTATAAATAAAAAAGTCAGAGAATAATAAAAAAACACCAGAGACGACAACAAATTGGGCAATGTGTCGGCTGGTTAAAAAATAGATGTGGAAAAACTGGCACATCTCTCAAACACATCAATAGGTTAGCTGGAAAGGCAATTAAGTTTTGGGACCGAGGCAGGGAATATATATTTATGGACATTTCCGAGGCGCTAAGCCAGTGGACTTAACAGAAAGTTATGGTGTAGAAGGGTGTGTGGAACGATACCTGAATAGGAGGGTCATTATTGTATATATACTACTTAATTAAAGAAATCAGTATTATTGTAGGATGTGAAAGGCTTTAGCCTTTCACAAATAAAATTCAGGCCGATTTGTATCTTAGCTTTTGCTTGCTGACTTATTTAAACTGGCAAGCTAAAATTGAGTGTTATTAGAAGATTTGCTTGCAGCAACTTGCCTGAGAAATTACTCTTTCATTCTTTTCGCCGGCTTTTTAGTTTAATGAATTTATGTGAACAATTTGCAATTACTCTTTACTCCAAGCAATTAAGCAGTCTGAAGTGGTAGCAGTAGATACAAAAAATTAAACCAGCACTCAACCATTGCATGGGCCCACTTCTAACTGTTGCAGACTAACTAATGCCTTTGAAGTTTGAGCTAATAATGTTAGCGCTATATTTGACCGCCGTGTTGGCCATTTTGGCTATGTTGTTGGCGCTATCATGCCTCGACCTGGCCACAGGTCTGTGAAGTCCGAGCCGTGCGGCAACAACAATGTTGGCCAAAACCGCATGTCTGACCGGCAGGTGCAAGTGGCCGTGTTACCAAAAGGAGGTGGGGCGATGGTAGGCATTTACAATATGTGTGGTGCTTGCGGGCTGCTTTACGGGCATTTGCATTTTGCATTTGCCATTCGCCATACGCCATTCGGCATGCCATGGCATCTCACGGATATGTGTCTATAACAAAACAATTAGAAACGACGACGATGACGACGGAGCTATGGCAAGAGCCCTCCACGATTTGACGCTGATTTATGAGTGGTGCAGTGGCGTGGGGTAGAGGGGTGGTCCGCTTGTAAAGTAGCTAGAAAAACTCAAAGACAGGCACGTAGCAGCAGGCCGAGGGGATTAGTTGAGGCGCAAGGCAAATAAAAGAAAACGCTCCGCACACATAAAAAGCCCAAGCCGAAAAGTGCTAGTCAGACGAAGGGGAGGGAGAGAGGGGAAGGGAGGGAGTAGCTAGTGGGTTGGCCGGTGGTTCGACTAAGTGGGTTGCTTGGGTGTTTTATTTTATTTTTTTATTTTCTTTTTTGGTTTTTGGCTGTGGATCTGGCCACCACCCGTAGGGCATAGTAAAATGCTAGTGAAACAATTATGCAATTACTTAATTTGATGGCCCAAGTGAGTGCCATCTCTCTGCATATCTCTGACCCCGTCCCCGTCCCCGTCCCATCCCCTGCCAGCCACAGCAATTCCCCTATTGCCCACCCACCGCCCTATTATAAGCAAATGTTACGTATACGTTATGTTGGCCCCCTGCCCACTTTTAGCTGACTTTGCTTTGTGGCCTGTAATTGTTTTAACTGCCTTGTGCACGCGCTTTGTTTACCCGACCTGCTGTGTGTTCCTTTCCTTTGCTGCGAACAGTACCAGTCGCATTGCCTATAAGCAACTGGCTGACTTTGCGTTGTGTGCATGTTCTAGTTGTGGCATAGTTTACGGTTTCTGGGTGCTGGTGGCATTTGTGAAAATCCATTGTTGATATTTGCATGCGATTTTATATAC